AGTGCCAAGAAGTGTCAGAGCAGTATACTTTAAGTTCTGGAAGACATACTAAGTTCTAGAATATTATACATTTTCTAAATTAAATCTAGGGTGTACTCATTTTTGCAATCCTTCATTTAAACAAAATTGGCTAATTTACTTATCTTACAGAAAATATTGGCATATATTTTGTTGTTTTTCTTAAAGGTCCCCTGAAACGCTTAGAAACACGCAGCATTACTCTGTGTTGACGTCATTTTAACTGAAACAGGAAGACAGGGCGGGACATATCAAGCAGCCCCGCCCCTTTTTAAAATAGCCAATAGCGGTAGTTTATATCACAGCTTGGGCTAGAGTCATTGAGCTCCGTAAAGAGCTCAATGACTCTTTACGGAGCTCAATGAAAAAATGAAAACATTTTACAGGGTATGCCAGCCACAATCTCATCCATATTGCTATAAAATATAGCATTCTGTGTAGAATTCAAATAGCTCCGATACATTTTGTGGTCTGCGCCGACTCGCGCATGTGATCCGCTCCGTGCTATCGTGTCTCTGGACCAAAGCAGAGTGTGTGTGCGGTGCGGTGGTTAGCGTGACACGGTAACCACCGTTTTCCTAAATTTTTTTTCCTCAATGGAAAGTATACAGGTGCATCTCAATAAATTAGAATGTCGTGGAAAAGTTCATTTATTTCAGTAATTCAACTCAAATTGTGAAACTCGTGTATTAAATAAATTCAATGCACACAGACTGAAGTAGTTTAAGTCTTTGGTTCTTTTAATTGTGATGATTTTGGAAATTTTTGTTCTAAGAGTATTTCACAAAGCGTTTTAGCGCTAAAATTAACTCCTAAACCTGTGAAACGTTAGGAGTAGTGAAGAGGACTCCTAAGTCACTAAGACCAAATCTGAACTATCCTAAAATGGCTGTTGCCAGCAATCTACCTTGGAATATAAACATTTTTAGAAACATTTAACGATAATGAGCTTTTAAAAAGGTATCGGCTTTGGTTTGGAGGTTATCCCAACTCCACATTTTTATTGTAATATATAGCTGTTCTTGCGTCCAGTTTGGTTTTCTTTTTATGTTTGCATGTCTTACTATCAGCCATGATTATTCTACTCTGCTAATTAAATGGCTGTTTAAATGCATATTACCAAAATTGTATTATGACGGACAAATCGTTAACGGCTGGTCTATGTGGTAATATAGTACATCGGGCAGGACAT